GAATTCTGTAGCCACAGTAGCACGACAAGTTCTAGTTTGTCATGAGGTTATCCAGGTGCGACAATAAAGTCACCAATGATAAGAATGATAATGTCAGTAAAATAACTGTAGCAGCTCAGTGAATCATGAATAAAGTCAGTACAGTAAGTACTTAGGTGGCCTATAAATTGTTAGTGATAAAGCGATGGTGTACACCAAATTTTTAGCACAGTACGGAGAGTGATGCAAAACAGAGGAAGTGGCAAGGGCCGGCTGTTTACACTGAAATACACTTTAAAAATAGCTGCTATTCCCCCATCTATCTATTGGACTGTTTACATTCTCTAAGCACAGCTGCACTGTGCTATAATCCAGCCAGGTTCATTCAGAAACATGAGGTCTAGGTCATGTAAGTAGTAAGATCATTAGTATAAAGATTTGTTTTCAAGTGATCTAATATTTAATAGTGCCAGATCATAATGTTGCTTCAAATCAGATTTATGTTGAAGAGCAGCTGTCAGAGTAGACTGACGTACAGAGTGATTTAATGATCTGTTGATTCCATTTCCCAATCAGCTACAGGCGCCAGGGGCCCCAGTTTGTTTTACAAACCTTCATGAGTTTTATCACAACTACAGCGGAGACCCTAGACGTATCAAACTTTGCATTATCAGCTGTGTTGACTGAACATTGCCGTGCTGTTTGCTTTCTGAAGAGGTGATGAGGGATGCGGATGTGCTTTGCTGTGGTAACAGCCCGTGCTCTACCAGAGGAGGCATAGCCGAGTGGGCAAGCTGGGGCAGTTTTTAGGAGTGGAGGTGCCCGTTGTTTCTAAGAGAACCTGAGGGTCTCAGTGCTATCGACTAGGAAAACAGGTTATTTCCTGCGTACAGCGGTTCTTTCATTTTCTCTGAAAACCCCAGCAGCGATGACATCAGAGGTGAGACATCATCAGTGCTCCTGTCGTGGGACTGATACCACGTGTCCTTGGATGGTGATGATGGTGTCTGACTCTTACTATCAGCCCACTGATGCCTGCAGGTCGAAGTGCAGAGTCATCATGTCCTCGGACAGGCCTGTGAGGAATCATTGTGAACCTGCCGAGGGTCATCATGTGATGTGACAGTAGAATGATCTCGGTCAGGCTGATATCTGTCCAGCCGATCCTCAGGTTCCATTGCTTTGTTGCATTTTGGAGCGAGACCACAGGGAGTGGATGAGTGATGAAGAGAGAAAAGAAGGTGATCTGTTAGCACTCGCACAGCAGTCCTGTTCACATTGAGGCCATTTAGTCTGAACAACTTTCTACGTCCCCAAAAGATGTTAAAATTCTGTATATAATTAAGCCCTTTTGGATGCAGGTGATGCTGAGCCAAGTGTTGAGATATAAAAGACAGGAGAATGAGTTGGAGCCTCGAACTGGAAGAGGTCCACTGAGAAATTCTAAGTTTAGTCTGTAAGTGTGTTAAACTGTTCAGAAAATCCCTTTCAGGAGCTCAAACTGTTCCTTCGGATGTCATGCTTCCAGCATGCACAATGATAGGTCTGATTGTCTGATGGTTGACTGCGATGTCAGGAAGCTGACTGCAGATGACCGTAGTGTCAGGAAGGCAGTGTGTAACTGTAGCCCTGCTGCTTACGTTCTGTATGATGGAGTCCAGCACAATCAGAGCTCTCTGCTGGGCCAGGGGTACCACCGAGAGCCGCTGCCTGCTAGTCCCTGAGAGTCTGATTCTCCGTCTGCTGGGGCCGAGCGGCTATAGTTCCGGTTCCACTCTCTGTTCGTACACACCGTGGGACGACCAGCTTCGTTTTCATCTGTGTCAGGGGCTTAGTTAATACTGGAGGGTCCTCTGTTACATCACTCAGTGGCTTCTGTTCTCAGCCGCAGATGCAGCAGTAGCTTAATAGCATTAGTGTTAACTGACCCAGCTACTGTAGCAGTGACTGGAGTGGAGGAGGCTACCGGGCAGTGTGTGAAGCCTGTGACGGCGCTGCGCTGTGTATAGCTTTGTGTTTGGCCCCCTGCTCGAGCCATCAGTCAGATCTGTCAGTGCTCTTTTTCAGTCCTGCCCCATTCTGAGGTGCAGCTGACCCCACTTTAGTAAGTTTAGGAAGCTCTCTGGATTGTCCAAGGCTAACACAGCCAGTGGTGCTGTGCTACATTGAGCAAACTCACCAGGCAGTGGCTGAAGGAGAGAGCAACTGAGATCTGTCTCCGATTCTCAGCCCAGAGTAAAAACATTAAGCACAAAGTAAACAGTGTCAGTGTTGACACACTGCGATAAAGTTAAAATTAAAAGTAAAATAGATGAAAATGAGGAAAGCATAGGAAGAGTGGAGAACTAGGAGCAGAAGGCAGAAGCAGTATTATTAAGAAGTATTTAAGGCAACTATTCGCATTATTGCTCCAGTCAAATGGAAGTAAAACTTTCATACTAAAAACCTGCAGATGAATGAGGAAAAACTCTGGCACGAGAGAAACAGTGATAAATCAGAGCACTTACTAAAAAAGAGCAACATGGATGCTTCCATACTAAATCATTTCAGTCAGGTTTTTGTTCTAACTCTACTGGTTCACGTTCTGAGTGACCTCAGGCTCAGCACTGACCCAGATAGCATAAAGACTCAGCCCGAGTTCGGCTGATCTGTGGCAGCATCAGCTCATCATCGGCCAGCTTGAATTGGGCCGAGTGTGGGTGACGCTCAGCAACCGAAGGGCTTGAAAACGGGGCTCGGGCCGACTCTCGTATGTATTGACGCGGCCCAGGTGTGTATTCATAGGCTCGGGCCAGTTGCGGATTACACTTGGCAGTTGGCAAAAGGAGCTCAGGCCGATTCCCATACAGTACGTGCTCATCCGGTCCAAGCATGCACTACAGGTTCGTGCCGATTATGGATAAATCTCAATTGGCTTCCTGGTGCCTGCATAGTGCACTAGTGGTCTTGAAATAACTAGTGCTCCTGAAACCAAACAGTGCATCATACATCTTACAAAGAGTCAGTTGGGATTCAGGCAGGTGTGCATAGCTCCCTACTGGACACAGAAGAAGTCAACATTTCTTAACTGATATAGTGCACTATACAGGGAGTAAGGAGCCATTTGAGATTCAGCCTGTCTGCAATCGCAGTAATATTATAAGTCCTCACCAAATTATTAAGAAACAAATACTGCAATACTGTATTTTATTCTAATAAAATTTGGTAAAATAATAATTCCTTTTTGGAAAAGGTTATTTAATCACTGCTTGTACAAAAATATCACTGATAACGTGTCATTGGCACGAAAACACAGATAAGACCCCACCTTCACTGGAATTCCCCCTTTCAAGAGAGTTTAATTATGGTTATGTCATAAGTTAAATGACTTTAGATTACTGTAAACAGTTTCTAATAGGGATCTAATATTAGATACTATTTAATATTTGTTAATGTTCATTAATATTTTCGTATTGACAGATTAATTCCTGTAGCACATTTTCTAGCTAATTAGCTGTTAGCTGTTCCTAGCTAAGTCGACTAGCAATGAAAAGTTAGAAGACTAATAACTCCACGCATCACAGGGCAGGTCATTTTTATTGTCTTGGGCGATTAAAAAAAGTACTTACTCTATTGGTTTGTAAAATGTTGAGCTACATTTGAACACTTTCTGTGTTCACAGATGATGAACTGGCCTGAAAACGCAGTGGAGTAAGGTGAGCCATCTGTTGTGTGTATTATTTATCTATAGGACTATACGTAAAAGTTAATCATCGCCATGTTGGAAAAATATCCGATAGAACTAGAGGGGACTAATAGCTCCTCCCTCTCCTGTTCATCTTACTTTACCTTAAGTTTAGCTTGACTGCATGAACCGAAATAAATGCCGTTGTGCTTTAGAACTAATACTCGCTTCAGTGTGACTCGATGCGGTTAAAGAGCAGAAAGTGACTGGGCATTACTCTAAAACAGCACCAGCCCTGGAGAGAAAGATCCGCTTATCCTTGGTTTCGCCCCGGAAACAGGTTCAGAAAAAGGAAACAACTGATATTAGATCATACATACACAGTGTTTTATTCACTGTTACTGTTGAAACGTCAAGTTATAGAGCTGAACAGTCTGGTTCTGGAAGCAAAAATCCCTTAATCACCATTGGAATTAGATGATTTAGATGATTTTATATGATTCAATTAAAGCCACAAATCAGTCCGGTTTCAGCTTCATTTCCGAAAAATCGTGTTTTACCAGAGCAGGTTTATGAGGAGTCTGGCCACTTCCTATTCCCCCCGTTATATCAAAACAGGACTGCTAAACAGCAGGGGGCGCCCACGAGGGAATCCTCAATGAATGGGAGTGAATGGAGCTAAACGGCTAAAAATGAAAAGTTAAAATAGTTTCTAATCACTGAACCAGAACTGTCCTTTAATTTTAGACAGTGGAAGGATGGATTTCACTAAAAAAGCAGAGAAAACTCACCTGTATGGTTCCTTTACTACAGCAAACGGGTTTTGGGCAGCAGGAGGCGGGCTTTAGTGCTAGTGAGTGATGATTGATTGGCAAGCGGAGCAGCTCATTGGCTGTTCGTGCTCACTGACGTCGTGAACGTACACGACGCGTCATTTTAAACTCCTATAACTTGAGTTTAAAAGCTCTTAAAATATAACAGCAGTGTTAAAATGTTTTAAGCTGCTCTGTGTTCAGGAAATGATCAAATTAAAATGTTTCAGCATTTATAAACTATGATTTTGCTCAAATGCTCCATATCAACTCTTTCATTTTGGACTCACTCGGGAGCGCCCCCTGTAGCGTCTGAGAAACTCAGAAGGCACTGCAGAGTCTCTCTACAAGTTCTTTGGTTTTACTCCCGTAATGTGTAAATACATTACACATTCGTCCCAAAGAGAGCTCCACCAATCAGAGACATCGGCGTCTGGCCGCGATCAGCAGCAGTGCGGTTTTCGGGAACCGGAAGTGACGACGCACAGATGCACAGACTGCTGACCCGCCGCTCCAGCGCTATCTTTCTGCTAAAGTTCCTAAATCAACCAAAAACGGTAAGTTCCTGCAATACCATGGCTACTGCTGGTTTCTTTGCCTGCTCAGAGTGTGGCATGTTTAGTTTAATCCCCTTTTCCACCTCTAGCGATAATGATAGCGGCTGTGTTTGTGCTAAGTGCCAGCTAGTTAGCTCCCTGGTGGAAAAGGTGGACCAGCTAGAGGTGCGCATCCGGGATTTATTAAGGGACAGACAGCGAGATTCACCGCTAGCAGCCCTGGGTGCCTTAGGGAGAGTCAGCACCCCCTCGACTCCGGCGTTAGAGCCCTCACAGCGGGGTGAATGGGTGACGTCTCGGCGACATAGCCGGAAAGCTAAGGCTAATGCTAACGCTGAGGCCAAAGCTAGCCCACCAGAACACCACGCTCCTCCGATTCACGTGTCAAACAGGTTTGCCCCGTTTAGCGAAACACCCGCTGAGGAGCCTGTTAAAAGTGCTCTGGTTATAGGAGACTCGATCGTTCGACACGTGCAATTAGCTACTCCTTTAGGGGCGCCAGCTGTAACAGTTAGCTGTTTACCGGGAGCCAGAGCGCCGGACATTAGCGGCAACCTTAGACTGTTAGCTAATAAGAGATATTCGAGGATAGTCATCCATGTAGAGGCCAATGATATTCGTCTGCGGCAGTCTGAGGTAACCAAGGGTAACATTAGAGAGGTGATTAAACTGGCCCAGACGATGTCCGATGCCGTAATCTGCTCTGGTCCCATCCCAATGCGGCGCGGCGCTGAAGCCTACAGCAGACTCTCAGCGTTAAACTGCTGGATGTCCAAGTGGTGTTCGGAAAATGAAGTGGGCTTTATAGATAATTGGTTACATTTCGAGGGCAAGCCTGGTCTTATAGGTAGGGATGGTGTCCACCCCACGTGGGAGGGTGCTGCCTTACTTTCTTGCAGCATAGCACATAGTCTTTTAGTTAGTCGGCAGAGTAGTGTAAACAGCTGCTGACAATCCAGAGCCGGGACCAGGCTGCAGACAGACAGGCTAAACCGACCGTCTGCGAACCACCTTGAGGCGTCACCTAGGATCCACTATATTGAGACTGTGTCTTTACCCTGAATTAAATCAAAATCTAAATGTAGAAAAACTCAATCAGCCCGCTTCAATAACCTAATCAATATTAAATCATATTTAGATGATAGCAGCAACACCTCAGTTCTAAAATTTGGGTTATTCAATATAAGATCACTAAACTCAAAAGCAGTCATCATAAATGAAATAATAAGTGATCATAAATTTGACGTTTTCTGTCTCACTGAAACATGGGTTAGACAGGATGATTATTCAGCACTAAATGAAGCCACCCCTATAGGCTATAATTATGTACACAGCCCAAGATTATCAGGCAAAGGAGGGGGATTATGTGTAATCTACCAGAATACCCTAGATATCAGTCAGAAACAATGTGACACCTTCACTTCTTTTGAGGTTCTTTCCATCAACATTACAAATCCGGCCACAAAAAAGAACACATTTTCATTATTTAACATTTACAGACCACCAGGATCCTACTCAGAATTTTTAAAAGAATTTAGTGATTTCGCTGCAAACCTAGCTGTGTGCAGTGATAAAGTAATGTAGGAGATTTTAATATCCATTTTGAGAAGGCAGATGACCCACTAAAAAAGGCATTTACTTCAATCCTAGACTCTGTTGGTATTACCCAAAATGTAACAGGGCCTACGCACTACTGCAGTCACACTTTAGATCTAGTTATGACACTTGGACTTGACATAGACAGGCTTAATATCCTACCGCAAACCTCAGTAATCTCTGACCATTACCTAATCTCTTATGAGCTACGTCTTCGCCATAATACATGTACGTCCCCTCGCTATTCTGCAAAGCGCTCAATAAAACCATTTACCGCCCTGCAATTCATAGAAAACCTCCCAGTACTAACAACCCTAGTCTCCACTCCATCAGACCCAATGGAGCTAGATGTATTAACCGACTATTTAGAAAATACCTTTCGATCTACTTTAGAAAATGTGGCGCCACTTAAAATCAAAAGGATAAGACAGAAAAAGCTCACCCCATGGTACGATGATAAAACCCGTACATTAAACCAAACAGTACGGAAACTAGAGCGGAAATGGCGATCAACCAAGCTGGAAGTGTTCCACTTGGCCTGGAAGGAAAGCCTTATAGAGTATAGAAATGCTCTCACTAAAGCTCGCTCAGCATATCTGGCCTCGCTGATCAAGAATAATAAATATAATCCTAGAGGACTGTTTAGTGTGATTTCCAGAATTACAAAAAATCAGGCAGGCACTGAACCAGAAATTCCGGCGACCCTCACCAGTGAAGTTTTTATGGACTTTTTTAATAATAAAATTGAAAATATTAGACAACAAACTCAACCCACAGTATTAAATCCAACTTGGCTGTCATCTGACATGGCTGATATAAAACATAACGTAGTTGCAGAGGAAAGGCTGGAAACTTTCTACCCACTACCACAGTTAGAACTAGAGAAGATTATCTACTCTGCAAATTGTACAACCTGCACACTTGATGCAATCCCCTCAAAAACTCGTCCCTTAGCCTGGGCCATGTACCCAGAGCTTTTAAACTAGCAGCTATTAAGCTTCTGATCAAGAAACCAAACCTTGACGCTGCGAATTGTCTAATTACAGGCCTATTTCTAACCTACCATTTATATCTAAGATCTTAGAAAAAGCTGTAGCCCAACAACTTAGTTCATATCTACATAAGAACCACATATTTGAGAAATTCCAATCTGGATTCAGGCCACATCACAGCACTGAGACAGCTCTAGTTAAGATAACAAATGATCTTCTTGCCTCTGATCAAGGCTACGTATCCCTGTTGGTACTACTTGACCTCAGCGCAGCTTTCGATACGATAGACCACAATATTCTCCTAGAAAGGTTAGAAAACATGGTTGGAATCACAGGGACAGCCCTATCGTGGTTCAAATCTTACTTAACGGAACGTTATCAGTTCGTAAAGGTAAATGATTCATCTTCCAGTTATTCACGAGTAAGATCTGGAATTCCGCAAGGCTCTATTTTAGGACCATTATTATTTACATTATACATGTTACCGCTAGGCACAGTTATAAGTAGCCATGGCATTAACTTTCACTGTTACACAGACGATACGCAATTATACATATCAGCCAAGCCTGATGACAAATACAGGTTAAAGAAAATAGAGAACTGTGTAAAAGATGTGAAAGGCTGGATGTTACGTAACTTCCTCCTTCTAAACAGTAACAAAACAGAGGTTCTCCTTCTGGGTCCAAAAGTGGCAAGAAATAAATTACCAGATTTAATTTTAAATCTTGCTGACTTTCCAGTTATACCTGGTTCAGCAGCAAAAAACCTTGGCATCATAAATGATCCAGATTTATCATTCGATCAACACATAGGCAGCATCACTAGGACAGCTTTTTTACATCTTCGCAACATCGCCAAAATAAGAAATGCCTTATCGCTGCATGATGCAGAAACATTAGTACATTTATTACTAGTCCTTTATTACTTCAAGGCTAGACTATTGTAACGCACTACTGTCAGGATGCACCAGAAGGAATTTAAGTAAACTTCAACTAGTTCAAAATGCTGCAGCCAGGGTTCTCACTAAAACTAGAAAATTTGATCATATCAGTCCAGTTCTATCATCACTTCATTGGCTGCCTGTTAAATTCCGTATTGATTACAAAATTCTTTTATTGACGTATAAAGCCCTACATGGGCTCCTGAGTACCTACAAGACCTTATTTCCCTTTACGAGCCACCACGATTACTCAGATCACAAAGTGCTGGCTTTTTAACAGTTCCCAAAATTCAGAAGGCTTCAGCTGGGGGAAGAGGCTTTTCTTATAAAGCCCCCAAACTCTGGAATGATCTTCCAGAAAATGTTCGGGACTCAGACTCAGTCGCAATCTTCAAATCTGGGCTGAAAACTCACATGTTTAGTTTAGCTTTTGGTAGTTAATGTCCCCCCTTAGATAAAGGCAGCAGATCCAGGGGTCCATGGACGCAGGGAATTATAGTAAACTGAGACGCTGGTGCTGTTGTCCTGCCGCTCGCACGCCATCACTCAGGTTTGTGGACGGTGGAGCGGAGGGATGCCAGATTGTTTCAGGGTGCTCCCGTGTCTGTGTGCCCTTTTGGTTCTCTCCTTTTAGTTAAGCTGTTATAGTCAGATTTACCGGAGTCGTTAGCCACACTCTGGAAATGTTCACATTCTCTGTTTTACATACACTCAAACAGAACAAAACTAACTCCATCTCCCTACCTTTTTCAGAGACTGCCCACCTGCCGGACGGACACTGATGGATGATTGTCTGTGGAGCTCTCCTGCTATCCGCTTCAGACCAGTTGCCCACGCCCCAGTCGCCGCCACTTGCCCAGCTACCGCCACTTGACTTGGACTAGTTGCCCACTCCCACTCTACACTGAAGTTTTCATGGACTCCTAACTACTACTACTACTACTACTACTATTAATATTAGTAGTATAATAATTTTGTAGGTAGTTTGACCAGAGGAGGATGGGTCCCCCCATGTGAGCCTTGGTTCCTCCCAAGGTTTCTTCCTCAGCTCTGAGGGAGTTTTTCCTGGCTTGCTCACTTGGAGGATTTACATTTCATGTTAAAACTTTGTCTTTAACGGATTTCTGTGAAGCTGCTTTGTGACAACATCAGTTGTAAAAAGCGCTATACAAAATAAATTTGATTTGAGGTCCAAGCTAGAAAGAGGGCAAAATTCAGATGTACAAAAGGAACTAATGCCTCTCCTCTTTGCAATTCGATATTCTTGCCTACTGCGCTCATTCTGTGGCAAAATGATTTTGAAAATGCATTGTATTTTCTTTTTTATAGACTTTCAGCTGTCAGACATCCCATCAGGTCAGGGCCAGCAGCACACTCAGCAAAAAGGGCTTAATCTGAAGAATGGGGCCCAAGAGTAGCTATTCTTACATTAGCAGATGGGGTAAATCAGAGCAATATATACCCTGGTGCTGCTTACTGCTTTATACATAACCTGATGAGTGTTTAATTGAAAGTGTGGCTAGGTTTTCTGGTTTATCAGTCTGGGAGTCGTTGATAAGCCTAAGGCTAATGTTAGGCACATTTAAGTGGCGCTGCAGTAACGTTTCGGTGGATTTAGCCACCAGAATGTAACTGCTGCACCATTTAAAGTCCTTCATGAGCTGGATCAGGTGGGGTGAAGAGGGAGTAGACAAAACTCAAGTGCTGTGGGTTGCTAGGAGCATAATTAATAATAAAAAGGAGCATAATTAAGAAGCAGTTGTCTGTTCACATGCTGTTCTCAAAGAAATGTAATAAAATGTAATGTTTTGAAAAGCTTACGTTCTTGTCATGGTTGTTGGTTACACAAGGCAAACAAGCATGTGGTGTTTGATGATTATTGATTAGATATGTGACTTTGACATGTTTTAAGCTTTAAAAGTACACAAATTCCTTATAATGTAATTTTATATAGTGTAATCTATAAATTATATAGTGTAGAGTAGTGTTTCCCAACCCTGGTCCTGGAGCCTCCCCTGCTCCCTTCCTGTTTTCCTCTCTACACACCTGATCCCAGCTAGTCATCTCATTAACAAAACGTTCCTTTGTTGAAGTGGGAGAGTCAGAGCAGGGAAAACACTCAAATGTGCAGAGCAGGGGTTCTCCAGGGGATTGTTGAATATCACAGCACATGGTATTTGGCCCGGATGTGATCCGAACAGTTGGACCAGAATCGGACCTAGATTCAAACCGAGGCTCTGCCGACTGTCACGGCACACAGTACTCGGCCTGGACGTGAGCCAGTCATTCGGGCTGGACGTGGGCCGATCAAATAAATACTGGTATGCGGCACTTGGCCCGAATGTGAGCCGAGCATTTGGGCCAGAATTGAGCCTAGATTCAAACCGAGTCTGGGCCGATGAGATTCAGGCTTGGTATGCAGCATTTGGGCCAGAAGTGGCCCGACTGATTTTTGCTATCTGGGGATGCACAAATCCTTCTTTTTGGTCTTACTATATCTTAGTACAGCTTTTGATACCATTGACCACAAGATTTTAATCCAGTGTCTTGAATGCTGGGTCGGCCTCTCGAGCACAGTTTTAGAAACTTGTAGCTGCGTTTGTTCAGCAGAGTTGATCACTGTAATGATCTTCTTACTGGAGAAAACAGTCCATCCTCTAGAACCCATACAGAACGCAGCAGCACAGATCCTCACAGCACCAACACAGAGAGCTCATATCACCCCGTTACACACTGCACTGACTGCCTGGATCTGTTAGAGAGAGTTTAAAGCTCTGCTGCTGGTTTTTAAAGCTCTAAATGACCTTAAAGCTCCTGACCGTCTGTCTGTTTATGATCTCAGATCTGCAGATTCTGACCTTCTGAACTCCTTCAGTAAAACACAGAAAACGTGGAGAGACTCTTTCAGTTATTCTGCTTCTAAACTGTGGAGCTCAGTTCAGCTTTTATTAGACAGTCGAGCTCAGAGCTCACTTTTAATAAACATTTCATTGTAAGTCACATTTTAATTAAAATTATAATTCATAATCTTATTTTCACTTTTGTTATTAATTTAAAATGTTGTCTATTACTATGTAGTTAATTTTTATCTTGTTCTTGCTTTCAGTTTTTTGAACTTTATTTTAGTGTTCCAGCTCTTACAGAGAAATGCTGTTTAATATTTAACAATAATAACCTGAGGGCTCCCGAGAGGCGCAACCGTCCAAGAGTTGGCCATATTGGTAAGAGATCAGGAGTTTGATCTCTTGTGAGACTACAGCCGTCTGTGGCCAGTCCAAGAGAGCATAATTGGCCTTGCTCTCTGGGTGGGTAGGTTGGCCCCCATCAACCAAACCCAATGCTAGTCAGTGCAGGCGTCTGTTAGCTGATGTAGCAGAACTGGCAGTTAGTGTTTTCCTTCGAGTGCATTCAGCCAATAACACTGCATTAGTGGCAGTTTGAAAAGATGCAGTGGAGCTTCACAGAACTTGGAGGAAGACTGTATTTGCCTTCACCCTCCTAGAGGTGGAAGTATCATGTGATTGGGGGAGTCAGAACTAGTGAGTGGAATTGGAAACAACTAAATTGGGGAGAAAATAAATATTAAGCAGTAGAGAAGGTGAAGAAACCTCTAATGTCTCTACAGGCTCTAATATCTTCAGGCTCCACTGTTTCGAACTAACTTGAACTTATTTTATCAGCTTAATACACAAAGTGTTTTATATACATAGATGATATAATTACATGCATAAATATACTGCACATGCACAATATATACATCAATAAAAACATTATTTACTCACTGATTGCACATGGAAATCATAATGATGTGGTCAGCAGGATGCCCAGGCTCAGCAGCATTTTTCAGAAGTTTACATTTTAATAGCATTTCAGTATCTGTATATGATTCACTGTCATGGATGTAATTTAATGAAATGAATTCTGACAGAAACACAATAATTACAGCAAACTTTTATATAAATTACATTAATGGTGAGATTCTTTCATTAATTATTTAGTTTTATTACAAATAATTTTAAACACTTTTGCATCCCTTTTTACGATGTATCCCCAAACGAGGACGAGACACTGTACAGACGAGACTTTATAAACGTTATCAGATTTACTGAGACAGCAGTGATGATATGAAAGTGGGTTCAAATATAAACCTTTTGAAACCTTTTTAGTGACTTTTCAAAGCTAATTTAGCTGCTTTACTGAACGTAGCTGAGTTCACGTTCTGTCACGAGTGAAATAACTTCAGTATAATATAAATGTCCTTCAGTTCTGATGACTTGGTGAGTTATTTCAGTGTTTGTTACCAGCTTGTACTGATTTATAGGGACATTTCAGAGCAGGTTAATCTGATATCTCTCAGATACGCTGACCAAACAAGTGAGTGAAGATTTGATCAGCTTCCTCTCACAGCGGTCAAAAGTCAGAAGCTCAGCCCTGATTGGTCAGCAGAGCTGTTATGGTCCTCAATCCTGAATGTAACCATCCCTGGAGCAGGTCAGAGATGCAGCATTTTATCATGGTGATGTACAACAACAAAAAAGATCCATTTACATTTACATCATTTAGCAGACGCTCTTATCCAGAGCGACTTACCAAAAGTGCTCTGTCTATCTAGAGAAAGTATCTTTGCTAGTTACCAATAGGTTAGAGAGAAAGACAGTCCTGAGCTCAGATACTGCTAGAAACAAAAAGTCCCTGTTGATACAGAGAGAAAAAGGAAGAGAGTTAAACACAGAGCAGTGCAATACAATACAATACATAAGTGCAGTCCACCGTCCTGAGACAGAAAAATAGATCAAACTAAGTGTAAAGTCAGCTGGACAAGCAAAAAATCCTGCTTTGTGGGATCAGATTAGTAGATACAGTGGATTTTAATGATCATCACACAAAACTATCAAGGTTCACTGCACATGCTCTCAGTTTTGCATTTAAATACATTTAAATACAACTTATATATCTGCATATGAAGTTTTCTGTTTGATGGAATGAATTTTAGTTTTATTCAGAAAAACAGAATCACTGAAATGAAGCTGCAGTGGTCGATTTATCCTCCACAGCGCTGCCCCCTGGTGTTCAGGCACAGGGCTGCAGGTGCAGTGTTAGCGCCCCCTGGCTGTGGAGCTGCAGTAAGCGCAGGAATTCCTCGGGCATGGCGTGCACTGCACGGTCTGGCTGCATTTTATCGTAGTAATGATAATTCACCGGCCGCTGGTGCAGGTCAGTGCTAAACGGCCAGAATCCGTACACGTGCACATTCTCGCATAGCTCCAGCGCCGAGCTGATTAGCATAAACCCTGTTGATAGGCGCTGTGCCCTCAGGCCACGCCCCCTCCAGAATCGGTCCAGTGTGCGCATGTAGGTGGGGCTTAAGAACAGCAGGTGGCGCTCAGGCCACATTGCCTGCAGCAGGTTAATGGACTGTTTAGTGCAGAATGTGTAGGCGAAGGCAGCGATCATGAAGGACGTGTTAGTGTATTCACTCAGCCTTCGTCTTAAACGGCTGTCGTTACGCATGAAGTCAGAAAACCTAAAACAAAAAGAGAAACAACTGCTACTTGTTATTTCACAATCATCTACCAGAACAATGATTAAATTTACTATCTGTACCAGCTAACATGTCCATGTGGGCCCCATGTGAGTTTTAAAGGGGCTGCGCGGGTTATACCTGGGAATGGGCTTGCAGTGGGCTATATGTGGGCCCCACCTGGGTTATAATCATGGGTCCCAGCTAGCCTCCAGTCATGGGCCTCAGGGGGGTACATTGTGGCTCCAGTTGGGTTAATAATGTGTGACCGAGTTAGGCTGCAGATGTGTGCCTGAGATGGGTTAATATTGTGTGACCCAGTAAGGCTACAGTTGGGCTACAGATATGAGCTCTCGTTGGGTTAATGTTGTGGCCCCAGTTTGTTAGAGATGTGGGTCCCAGGCGAGTTAATGCTGTGGGCCACATATGAGTCAGAGTTGTAGGACCTAATTGGGCCATTGTTATGGGCCCCAGTTGGGTTAGAGTTTTGGGCCATAGTTGGGTTAGGGTTGGGGGCCCACGTTGAGTTAATGTTGTGTGACTCAGTTAGGCTACAGATGTGGGCTCTAGTTGAGCCTCACTCAAATTACCAACTCATGTGTGAGTCCTGGGAGTTGTTTTGTAATCAGTTTGTAATCAGCATTTATTTTCATAAATATACAAACATGGAATTTGAAATACGTAAAAAATTTATAAACAACATTTAAATTTTTTAAATACAATATTATAAATAATCATAATGCATAATTAAGGATTAAAGACCAATTTCTATAACTGGTTGAAACTGCTTGGAACATTCTAGATGCCCTCAGCCTTAAAATGCTAAAAGGCTAGCCTTACATGGCTGAGGATCAATTAACAGAAATATGGCTATAAGAAAGTGATAATTAGTCCGATATCACTGATATGGAACATTTTGTTAAAGGGATTAGTTAGTTAGTTAGCTATCAATCATTTCATTTTCAATTCGATTTATAGAATTATCTATACAATTTATGCTAATCTTTTTATTTTGTTGATTAAGAAGTTGTAAAATTAGATTCAGTTTGATTTCTGATACAAATTTGTGAGGAATTTGCTGTGTAATACGCAGTTTTGCAGATAGCTAACAGTCTAAAAAGCTTGTCAAATAATATTTGGAGTTAAGCTACTAGTTAAAGTACAACCCCAATTCCAACAAGTTGGGACATTGAGTAAAATGTAAATACATGTAAATAAAAACAATGTATTGATTTGCAAATCTCATAGACCCATATTTTATTTACAGTAGAACATAGCGCACAGATCAGATGTTGAAAGTGAGACATTTTACCATTTCATGAAAAATATTAACTCATTTAGAAGTCACTGTAATTAACTACAATTTCTCTTTGAGATCAATAAACTTCTATCTATCTACCTATCTATCGATCGATCGATCTATCTATCTGTCTGTTTGTCTGTCTGTCTGTCTATCTATCTAATTGAAGCCAACCTTGACCCCTTTTTTAACCTACATGTGGGGCCAGTGGATGATTACTCAGATGGGCTCATTAATGGCCCACATGAAGCTGGTGGACAAATCTTTGTAGGTCCCAACTGGGCAGCCCAAAGGGGGTCCAATTGGCAGCTCATTGTTAACCCATGGGGGCCATAAGTAGAAATGTTGGCTGGGGTGTCACTCCGTTAAAGAGGAATAGCTTTGTTTACGTTAAATAACAGTTATAATGTGTGTAGATGAGGCAGTGACTTACTCTCTGCTGATCTGACTCAGGTTGATGTTCATCAGATCACATTTCACACCCACATCACTGTTATTGACTGGAGCCATGTTAAATCTGCTCAGACACATTAGAATGAAGAGTCATTAGAATTAAAGACACGCTGTTGACACATCGTTCCTGTTTCCTCTATAAATATTACTCAGAATCTGAATCTTTCCGTGAACTGATGTTCTAACTTGATGTGAATTTAACTGTAAGTTTTAAGCACTTACTAGTCTAAAATGTCAGAGCTGAACTCACACACTTTTACCAGAACTGTCTGTGTGTTCTGAGTTGAACAGCTACCCATCCTGTGCATCTGATGCAGTTCTTCTTCTGCCCTGATCGGGTGTCCACTGCTCGCCCATCTTCTGCATCAGTTTGACCACCACAGAGCTGTACAATGCTGTGCAAACCTCACCTGCATGAACTGACCCTCCTGATGCTACTGCTGTGGTCCAGACTCAAAATATTTAATCAGAGCCATTACTTCACCTGCTTTTCCCTTTTCTGTATTTTAATCATTTATAGTAATGGTAAAATCTCATTTTGGTAAAATCTCATTTTGGTAAAATGTTCATTTTGCTCTTGTGCTATTGTTTGCTATCTGGTATCGACCAGAGGAGGATGGGTTCCCCTTTTGAGTCTTGGTTGCTCTCAGTGTTTCTTCCTCTTGCTCTGAGGGAGTTTTGACTGCCACTGTCAACATTGGTGAAGATCTTGGGGGCTCAGACCTGGATTCTTCTGTAAAGCTGCTTTGTGACAACACCTGTTGTAAAAAGTGCTCTATAAATAAACTTGACTGGAACATATCAAACCCAGTGACTTCATACTTTTTTTTACCTCAACCTCCTGGAGTCTGTGCTGCACTCTGTTAACACTGTATACTGTAATCAGTCACTCTTAACAGGACTATCTGCCTGTGTGTTTCTTTGCTGAGTTGAACAACTGCCCATCCTGATGCTGCTGCTTCATCTTCCTTGATTGTATGCCTTGTGGAGCTTCAAGCTGTACAATGATGTTCTTCACCGGCATGAAACTTACCCTCTTGATATTTTTGCTGCACAGACTTTATGTAGTTATAACTGAAGTTTGGGGGGAGGAACATGGCTGAAACTCCTCCTTCTTCCAATCTAGGCCTATAAATTCATATCCTCACTTTTTGTTCCTGTGATTTGCAGTCAGTTGCGAGAGGCCAGTGCAGCTACGAGCCGCTCTAGTACAGACCTGGACTCTCTCTCCTGAATTCCCTTCAGCTGTCTGCCTGCTCCTTCTGCAGATACAGTCCAGTCCACATTGCTATGAAATCCATTTTCATCGCTTCTGCTGCTCTGGCTAGTGAGCCCTCGATAGGATGTAGGATCTCGATTTCTCTGGCCACACACAGTCTCCCTGCTCGTTTTCCGCAATTCCAACGAGGCTTGAAGCCTTGACGGCTCGTGCTCCTCTGCCAAACTTCCTGTCTTACCCTGCCTTGCCTAGCTTTTCAACTCCTTTCTGACTTTTCATGACTCAATCTCATCCCAGCTCCATCTCAAGTTCAACCCTTTCCTGGTTCAGCTCTGATGTGTCTCAGCTATACAGCTCCTCACTCCAATCGGCACCATCCCGGACCAGCTCCATCTTGGATTAGCTCCAACACAACTCAGCTCTGCAACTTATTTCTGTCTCAACTCTGCTTCATAATGGATCAGCTCTGCAACTTATTTCTTCGCCTTTGCTCCGTTTCGGGTTAGCTCCAGTACAAAAAGCTCTGCATCTCATTTCTGACTCCACTTGGCTTCTTCTCAGATCCACTTTTATGCGCCTTAGCTCTGCAACTCCTTTCTGTTTCAGCTTGGCTCCATGTCAGATCAGTCCCATCTCGGATCTGCTCCATCTCAAATCAGTTCTACCTAGGTTCAGAGCGGACAGAGTCAGCTCTGCAACTCACCGCTGTCTTAACTTGGCTTCACCTCAGGTCAGCCCCACTTCAAATGAGCTTTATCTCGACTCAGTTCCATTTCTTCATTTTTCCCTCTGACTGGACTGCTATTGGTTTGTTTGTGAAAATGGTGCCAGTAACCTGCTGCTCTCCTAGTGACTTTGGCTGTTGCCTTTACTCTCTCATCTCATTCAGCTCTCAGTCCTGGGAGCCATGTCTTTTCACCATTGTCAGTGTTTTGGGGGCTTAAATTCCAAGCAAGTGATTCTCAACCAGTGTCATAACTGAATATCTGTGCTGTTACCAAGAGTATTTTCCATGCCAAACTACCTCCCACAGTGGCCAGAACATCATCCAGTTGCCTCTCAGGCCCATCAACTGTCATATGGATCAGCTACCTCCAGCAGCCATTCCTGGTCCATGTTCAGTTCATTCAGGAGGATGTAATCTGCTTTATTCTCATCCAACCCCTTTGCCTGCCTCGTTTAACACAATCTTCACAATATGGGATCCACCAGAGGAGGATGGAGAGGAATTCCCCTGTTGAGTCCTGGTTCCTCTCAAGGTTTCTTTCTCAGTGGGAGTTTTTCTTGCCGCTGTTGCCCTTGACTTTCTAATCAGGGGTTCAGACCCAGATGTCTGTTAAGCAGCATGTCACCATGTCACACTGAATCAAATTCATCTGCTCCATTTTTCTTCTCATCTAACATCCTTAATAAAAGTCAAGTCAAGAGGCTTTTATTGTCATTCCATCTACATGCAAGTACACAGTGGAGTGAAATTACGTTCCTCCAAGAACAACAACCTGCAACAAGGAACAAAAGTACAAAGTACAAAATTACAAAGTGCAAATGTACAGCGTGCAAACAAAAATTAAGCTAGAAACAATACAATAAATACAATAAATTAAACAGACATTAGGCACAGTAAACAGACCGGACAGTGCAGCACCGACACAGCACTCATTTCTGGACATGAGGTAGTGGAATAAGGTGCAGACATATTAAACATGCTGTGATCGGTAAGTTACATAGTCAGATAACATACATAAACACAGCAGATTACTGAGGTAGTAAAACAGTGCAAGTAGAGCATCAAAAGAGGTGTGTGTGTGTGTGTTGGGGATTTAGTTCAGTCCTTGTGAGTTTAAAAACCTGATTGCTTGAGGAACAAAGCTGTTGCAGAGTCTCGCAGTGATGGCACGGATGCTCCGGTACCTTCTGCCAGACGGCAGCAGTGAAAAAAGTCTGTGTGAGGGATGGATGGGGTCGTCCACAATGGTGGTGGCTTTGCGGATGCAGTGTGTGGTGTAGATGTCTGTGATGGAGGGGAGAGAAACCCCGATGATCTTCTCAGCTGTCCTCACTATGCGCTGTAGGGTCTTGCGGTCAGATGCAGTGCAATTCCCAAACCAGGCGATGATGTAGCTGCTCAGGATGCTCTCCACAGTCCCCCTGTAGAACATGGTGAGGATGGGAGGGGGAGATGAGCCTTCTTCAGTCTCCGCAGGAAGTAGAGGCGCTGCTGGGCTCTCTTGGCTATGGAGTTGGTGTTGAGGGACCAGGTGAGGTTCTCTGTGATGTAGACAGCAAGGAACTTGGTGCTCCAGACGATTTCCACAGCAGAGCCAGTGATGTTCAGTGGGGCATGGTCAACTCGCACTCTTCAGAGGTCAACAACCATCTCTTTAGTTTTGTCTACATTCAGAGACAGGTTGTTGGTTCTGCACCAGTCTGTTAGCCGCTGCACCTCCTCTCTGTACGCTGACTCATCATTCTTGCTGATCAGACCCACCACAGTCGTGTCATCAGCAAACTTGATGTGGTTTGAGCTGTACTTTGCAGTACAGTCATGAGTCAGCAGGGTAAACAGCAGCGGACTGAGCACACAGCCCTGAGGGGCACCGGTGCTCAGTGTGGTGGTGCTGGAGATGTTGTTACCTATCCTGACTAACTGAGGTCTCTCAGTCAGGAAATCCAGGACCCAGTTACAGAGGGAGGTGTTCAGGCCCAGCAGGCTCAGTTTTCCCATCAGCTGCTGAGGGATGATGGTGTTGAATGCTGAACTGAAGTCTATGAACAGCATTCTGACATAAGTGTCTTTATTGTCCAGGTGGGTGAGAGCCAGGTGGAGTGTGGTGGAGATGGCGTCATCTGTTGAGCAGTTGGGGTGATATGCAAATTGCAGTGGGTCCAATGAAGGAGGAAGCTGATCTTTAATGTGCCTCATAAAAAGCCTCTCAAAGCACTTCATGATGATGGGAGTGAGTGCAATGGGATGGTAGTCGTTGAGGCAGGACACTCTTTAGCACAGGGATGATGATGGTGGACTTGAAGCACATTGGAATGACTGCAGTGCTCAGAGAGATGTTGAATATGTCTAGGAGAACATCAGCCAGCTGTACGGCGAATTCTCTGAGCACTCTGCCCGGTATGCTGTTGGATCCTGGTGCTTTCCATGGGTTGACTCTGTGTAGAGTTCTCCGCACATCAGCTGTGGACAAACAGAGTACCTGTTCACTTGGAGGAGGTGTGGATTTCCTCACCGTCGTGCCGTTCTGTGCTTCAAACCAAACAGAAGTTATTTAGCGTGTCTGGAAGGGAGGCATCACTGTCACAAGCAGGTGGAGGTGATTTGTAATGATGGAGGTGAGGAGGTAAGGAGGTGATGGCCTGGATGCCCTGCCACATGCGCCGTGTGTCAGCGGTGTTTGAAAGTGATTGTGGATTTTCTTTGAGTAGGCACTCTTGGCCTCTTTGATGGCCCGGGAAAGCTTGGCTCTTGCTATCCTGAGGCTTGCTTTGTCCCTTTGACTTGAAAGCCTTGTCACGGGTTCTCAGCAGCATGCGCACCTCTGCAGTCATCCATGGTTTCTGGTTGGGGTGTGTTGTGATGAGTTTGGAGACAGTAACTTCATCAATGCACTTGCTGATGTAGCCAGTCACTGATTCTGTATACTCCTCCAGGTTGATGGAGTCACCGGAGGTTGCTGCTTCTCTGAACATCTCCCAGTCAGTGTGCTCAAAACAGTCCTGAAGAGCAGAGATAGCTCCTGGTGGCCAGTTTCTGATAAATGGTCTGTATGCTGGAATAAGCATCACAGAGATGTGGTCTGAGTAGCCGTAATGGGGCGGGGCTCAGCCCTGTACGCGCCGGGGATGTTTGTGTAAACAAGATCCAGCACGTTAGCCCCCCGGGTTGCAAAGTCCACATACTGGTGGAATTTAGGGAGCACTGACTTCAGATTGGCATGGTGGAAATCTCCAGCAACAATAAACAGTCCGTCTGGGTGTGTTTTGCAGATCGCTGATAGCGCTGCACAGCCTGCTCAGTGCGGTGTTAGCTTTAGCACTGGGAGCTATGTACACCGCTACTATGTACAGCGTATTTAGCTCTCTTGGCAAATAAAATGGCCTGGCTCTGACAATCGCAAACTCCACCAGCGGTGAGCAGTGACTGGAGACTAGCATCATGTTTTTACACCATTCAGAGTTACACTTCGAGTCTTACTGCACAGCTCAGCATCTCTGTCTGCACAGAAGCACAACAGGCTGTCGAGCTGAATGGCTAAGTCCATGTCTCCGTAAAAACGAAAACACAACATACCTGTGTTTTAACTCCTGCATGTTCTATGAACTCTGAGTGTTGAACTGCCCCAAATAAAGCCATTCCACACTGCCAACAGACCTACATGCCTCCTTCATTACAACATTAGTCCAATCTAACTGCAGTGTCAGTGCTGATAATAATAAGTTATTTCATTTCAAACAGAAAATGTAGAGACTCTCAGTATTTTAATTCCGTGTGGACAGTGCTTTAGTTAACCATCTAAAAATAGACTTTACAGTATTATTTTTTGTTCCCGCTTTTTATAGATATTTTTAACGGCCGTGAGAGCCAGCAGAAAGGCAGGGCCCAAACTCCGAGTGAGGATGAAGCCTGGCGAGGATGGCACATGAATCCTGAACACCGCCGAGGGATGTGAGTGAACACAGTGAACTCACGGTTCTCCTCTCCCCACTGTCCTCACCGGGCTTCGTCTTCCTGCCGGCTCTCGCGGCCGTCATCAGGGCCTGGGGGACGGGCGCATGCCATACTCACTTATTTATTGTGGTAGATATTAATACACAGTGTTGGTGACGGGTTTTACTCAATGTCTTGTTTTATAGATGATGAGATTTACCGATGGTGATTTTTACTTGATGAATATTTTTAAGTGATGAGGGGTTTTACACAATGATGGGTTTTACCTGATGACAAAATCTGCACTGTCGATTTCTCTTCCACAGCTACTGTTGAGTAGAATCCCACCACTGCCCACCACAGCACAATGGCCCAGAGAGCGCCCCTTCCAGGGCATGTCCTACACACACACACACACATGACTGTTTGAATAAACAGTTTAATCTAAACACTCGAGATCAATTACTAGCTTTTTAAAAAAAGATCATCATCCTGGATTTATATCCTCTGATTGTTGACCTTTACTTTATAAACTGTTTGTTCCCTAAAGATTAAAAATACAATGAAAGTGTCTTAAAGTTTAGAGTAAAGTCTTCAGAACAGGACTAATATGGGTTATCTCTCTGGTCTTGGAGAGAACATGTGCAGCAAAATTTTGGAAAAAGAGTCATTTATTGTTATGTTGTTTCACTTATTATTTTTTTGGAGAACAGAAACAGCATCACTACAGTCCAGATTACTAGTTATAAAATCACGAATAAGCATTTCTGCATTTGTTTCAAAGAACTGTTAAACTGCACTTCTGGAGAAAATTTTAAAATGCATTCACTGCGATTAAAGAGACGCAGTTAAGCAGAAGTCAATTTCCTTTATTAAAGACTGCAGGCGGCAACAGCCACACTGTGCAATAGAGTCCTAGTCAGAACAAACCTAGGAAATAACTGGAAAACAAACACTCTGGAATTACCATGTAAAGCACATCTTGAACAGTCTTCAATACAGATTTCAAAATTTAAATCTGTATCTAAAACACACATGTAGGATTGTTTACAAAAGGTTTTAAAATGGGTGAAATTCACTCTGGACACAATCAGCAGTACAATCAGTCCCATCATCTCTGATTACAGATCACGGAGGTGACATACACTGATAGAACCCAAAACAGAACCCTGGGGAACTCCACAATAATATCACAGCTACTAGAGGACATGAGACGATGTCAGTGTCCTGTCTGATCAAACACACCTCTGGTCATCAGCGGTGAAGCTGGACTGAAGTCCTGACTGAGCCGTACCTGAGGCAGCTTCCTGTACACATCAGGTCTGAGTTTGTATTTGACGTTTGGTCTGGTTTCATATGGAACGCTCTGATTAACCTCAGAGTTCTTCTGAGTCAGGAACAGAGAACCGGACGCATTACAGCAGGAACTCAACTGCACTCTACCAGAGAGAGAGAGAGAGAGAGAGAGATACAGACAGAGAGAGAGTGAGAGAGAGATATTGGGTCATTAATAGACTGAAGACCTGATTTTTTAAGGGTTTGTGTTTGCAAATAGTTGATCTAGTGGAGAATTTCATATTTCATATGAACTAAAACATCAGGACTAGTTTTAGTTCTAGGTTAGGTGGACTGAATGAAAAATGTCTCGCAGGATTAGTGCTGTACGTGTTACATGTCTGTCTTAACGAATATGTAACTGTAAAAACAGTTTATAGACGTTTACAATAGTGTTTAGTTTAAAGCGAACAGCAGGAAGGAGCAGCTGCAGAGATTTACTAGATCTGAAAGGCGACTGTTCGTAGATTAAACCCAGATTAAACCTGTGGCTGTCAGTGACACTCACTACTGAAACATGATCAGAAAAAGAAATCAGTAGTGCAGATTAAACTGGAGTGATGGACTGATGGAGTGATGGACTGATGGAGTGATGGTCAGATTGAGTGATGGCGTGACGGTCAGATCGAGTGATGGAGTGGTGGTCAGATTGAGTGATGAAGTGGTGGTCAGATTGAGTGATGAAGTGGTGATCAGATTGAGTGACGGAGTGATGGTTAGATCGAGTGATGGAGTGATGGTCAGATCGAGTGATGGAGTGATGGTCATATTGAGTGATGGAGTGATGGTCAGATCCAGTGATGGAGTGATGGTCAGATTGAATGATGTTGTGTTGGTCAGATTGAGTGATGTTGTGGTGGTCAAATTGAGTGATGGAGTGATGGTCAGATTGAATGATGGCGTGATGGTCAGATTGAATGATGTTGTGGTGGTCAGATCGAGTGATGGAGTGATGGTCAGATTGAGTGATGGCGTGATGGTCAGATTGAATGATGTTGTGGTGGTCAGATTGAGTGATGGCGTGGTGGTCAGATCGAGTGATGGAGTGATGGTCAGATTGAGTGATGGAGTGATGGTCAGATCGAGTGATGGAGTGATGGTCAGATCGAGTGATGTTGTGGTAGTCAGATCGAGTGATGGAGTGATGGAGTGATGGTCAGATTGAGTGACGGAGTGATGGTCAGATTGAGTGACGGAGTGATGGTCAGATCGAGTGACGGAGTGATGGTCAGATTGAGTGATGGCATGGTGGTCAGCTCGAGTGATGGAGTGATGGTCAGATCGAGCAATGGCGTGGTGGTCAGATCGAGTGACGGAGTGATGGTCAGATCGATTGATGGCGTAGTGGTCAGATCGAGTGATGGAGTGATGGTCAGATTGAGTGATCGAGTGATGATCAGATTGAGTCACGGAGTGATGGTCAGATTGAGTGATGGTCAGATTGAGTGATGGCATGGTGGTCAGATCGAGTGATGGAGTGATGGTCAGATCGAGTGATGGTCAGATTGAGTGATCGAGTGATGATCAGATTGAGTCACGGAGTGATGGTCAGATTGAGTGATGGAGTGATGGTCAGATCGAGTGATGGCGTGGTGGTCAGATCGAGTGATGGAGTGATGGTCAGATTGAATGATGGCGTGATGGTCAGATTGAATGATGTTGTGGTGGTCAGATCGAGTGATGGAGTGATGGTCAGATTGAGTGATGGCGTGATGGTCAGATTGAATGATGTTGTGGTGGTCAGATTGAGTGATGGCGTGGTGGTCAGATCGAGTGATGGAGTGATGGTCAGATTGAGTGATGGAGTGATGGTCAGATCGAGTGATGGAGTGATGGTCAGATCGAGTGATGTTGTGGTAGTCAGATCGAGTGATGGAGTGATGGAGTGATGGTCAGATTGAGTGATGGCGTGGTGGTCAGATTGAGTGATGGCGTGGTGGTCAGATTGAGTGATGGAGTGATGGTCAGATCGAGTGATGGCATGGTGGTCAGATCGAGTGATGGAGTGATGGTCAGATCGAGTGATGGTGTGGTGATCAGATTGAGTGATGGAGTGATGGTCAGATTGAACGTTGGTGTGGTGGTCAGATCGAGTGATGGAGTGGTGGTCAGATTTAGTGATAGAGCGGTGGTCAGATTGAGTGATAGAGCAATGGTCAGATTGAGTGATGGAGTGATGGTCAGATTGAGTGAGTGATGTTGTGGTGGTCAGATCCAGTGATGGAGTGATGGTCAGATGGAGTGATGAAGTGGTGATCAGATTGAGTGATGGAGTGATGGTTAGATTGAGTGATGAAGTGATGGTCAGATTGAGTGATGGCGTGGTGGTCAGATTGAGTGATGAAGTGATGGTCAGATTGAGTGTTTGAGTGATAGAGTGATGGTCAGATTGAGTGATGGAGTGAAGGAGTGATGGTCAGATTGAGTGACGGAGTGATGGTCAGATTGAGTGATGGAGTGATGGTCAGATTGAGTGATGGTGTGGTGGTCAGATCCAGTGATGGAGTGATGGTCAGATTGAGTGATGGAGTGATGGTCAGATTGAGTGATGGAGTGATGGTCAGATTGAGTGATGGAGTCATAGTCAGATTGAGTGATGGAGTGATGGTCAGATTGAGTGATGGCGTGGTGGTCAGATCAAGTGATGGAGTGATGGAGTGATGGTCAGATTGAGTGATGGCGTGATGGTCAGATTGAGTGATGATGTGGTGGTCAGATCGAGTGATGGAGTGATGGTCAGATTGAGTGATGGAGTGATGGTCAGATTGAGTGATGGAGTCATGGTCAGATTGAGTGATGGAGTGATGGTCAGATTGAGTGATGGCGTGGTGGTCATATCGAGTGATGGAGTGATTGAGTGATGGCGTGGTGGTCAGATCGAGTGATGGAGTGATGGAGTGATGGTCAGATTGAGTGATGGAGTGATGGTCAGATTGAGTGATGGAGTGATGGTCAGATTGAGTGATGGAGTCATGGTCAGATTGAGTGATGGAGTGATGGTCAGATGGAGTGATGGTCAGATTGAGTGATGTAGTCATGGTCAGATTGAGTGATGGAGTGATGGTCAGATCGAGTGATGGAGTGATGGAGTGATGGTCAGATTGAGTGACAGAGTGATGGTCAGATTGAGTGATGGAGTGATGGTCAGATTGAGTGATGGAGTGATGGTCAGATTGAGTGACGGAGTGATGGTCAGATTGAGTGACGGAGTGATGGTCAGATCGAGTGACGGAGTGATGGTCAGATTGAGTGATGGCATGGTGGTCAGCTCGAGTGATGGAGTGATGGTCAGATCGAGCAATGGCGTGGTGGTCAGATCGAGTGACGGAGTGATGGTCAGATCGATTGATGGCGTAGTGGTCAGATCGAGTGATGGAGTGATGGTCAGATTGAGTGATCGAGTGATGATCAGATTGAGTCATGGAGTGATGGTCCGATTGAGTGATGGAGTGATGGTCAGATCGAGTGATGGCGTGGTGGTCAGATCGAGTGATGGAGTGATGGTCAGATCCAGTGATGGAGTGATGGTCAGATTGAGTGATCGAGTGATGGTCATATTGAGTGATGGAGTGATGGTCTGATCCAGTGATGGAGTGATGGTCAGGTCGAGTGATGGCGTGGTGGTCAGATCGAGTGATGGAGTGGTGGTCAGATCGAGTGATGGAGTGATGGTCAGATCCAGTGATGGAGTGATGGTCAGGTCGAGTGATGGCGTGGTGGTCAGATCGAGTGATAGAGTGATGGTCAGATCGAGTGATGGAGTGATGGTCAGATCGAGTGATGGAGTGAGGTCAGGTCGAGTGATGGAGTGATGGTCAGTTCGAGTGATGGTCAGATCGAGTGATGGTCAGGTCCAGTGATGGAGTGGTGATCAGATCGAGTGATGGAGTCATGGTCAGGTCCAGTGATGGAGTGGTGGTCAGGTCGAGTGATGGAGTGATGGTCAGATCGAGTGATGGAGTGACGGTCAGATCAAGTGATGGAGTGATGGTCAGGTCGAGTGATGGAGTGATGGTCAGTTCGAGTGATGGCGTGATGGTCAGATCGAGTGATGGAGTGATGGTCATATTGAGTGATGGAGTGATGGTCAGATCCAGTGATGGAGTGATGGTCAGGTCGAGTGATGGCGTGGTGGTCAGATCGAGTGATGGAGTGATGGTCAGGTCGAGTGATGGAGTGATGGTCAGATCGAGTGATGGCGTGGTGGTCATATTGAGTGATGGAGTGATGGTCAGATCCAGTGATGGAGTGATGGTCAGATCGAGTGATGGCGTGATGGTCAGATCGAGTGATGGAGTGATGGTCAGGTCGAGTGATGGAGTGATGGTCAGGTCCAGTGATGGAGTGATGGTCAGGTCGAGTGATGGAGTCATGGTCAGATCGAGTGATGGAGTCATGGTCAGATCGAGTGATGGAGTGATGGTCATATTGAGTGATGGAGTGATGGTCAGATCCAGTAATGGAGTGATGGTCAGGTCGAGTGATGGCGTGGTGGTCAGATCAAGTGATGGAGTGATGGTCAGGTCGAGTGATGGAGTGATGGTCAGGTCGAGTGATGGCGTGGTGGTCAGATCAAGTGATGGAGTGATGGTCAGGTCGAGTGATGGAGTGATGGTCAGGTCAAGTGATGGAGTGATGGTCAGGTCGAGTGATGGCGTGGTGGTCAGGTCGAGTGATGGAGTGGTTGTCAGATCGAGTGATGGAGTGATGGTCAGGTCGAGTGATGGAGTGAGGTCAGGTCGAGTGATGGAGTGATGGTCAGTTCGAGTGATGGTCAGATCGAGTGATGGAGTGATGGTCAGGTCGAGTGATGGAGTGATGGTCAGGTCGAGTGATGGAGTGGTGGTCAGGTCGAGTGATGGAGTGATGGTCAGGTCGAGTGATGGCGTGGTGGTCAGATCGAGTGATGGAGTGGTTGTCAGATCGAGTGATGGAGTGAGGTCAGGTCGAGTGATGGAGTGAGGTCAGGTCGAGTGATGGAGTGATGGTCAGTTCGAGTGATGGTCAGATCGAGTGATGGAGTGATGGTCAGGTCGAGTGATGGAGTGATGGTCAGGTCGAGTGATGGAGTGGTGGTCAGGTCGAGTGATGGAGTGATGGTCAG